AGTAAATATTAAAATAAATGCCCGAAGTGTTTCTAGTCAAGCGGTACAGAAATATAACGTTGGTTTTACCTCAATGAGATTTTAATCAGAAATTTCCGACAAAAGCACAACACGAATGAATACAACAAAACATCTTAACAACAACAAAAAACCCAAAACTTGACCTAAGATAAAATTGTAATAGAATAGCATCTAAAGGTCACTAAGAATGATGCCACAAAAAGAAAGTAGAGAAAAAGCGAACAAAAAAAAAAAGAAATTGTGAAAAATATGGTAAAAAGAATGTGGATTATTAATTTTTTACTTAATCAGGAAATGCTCCCAATAGCGATGATAATTGACCCACATGTGTGTGTGTGAATCATAAATCTCAAATTGGCTAAAATTAATACTTAATGACATTCAGGTCTGAAAGGTGTTCGTTCACGCAATTCGATTACGAAGATATTGAAATAGAAAAACATAAAACCCACATAAAATAGAATCCACTTAACAAAAAAATAGAAGAAGTTAGATAGAAATGAGAGAAAAAAACCCCCAGAAGAATGACACCGTCAAAGAAATAGGCAAACAACCCAGTCATTCCAGAGCATAGATATGCTGACAATCTTAAGAATTTCGCTTTAATCAGTTTGCTCGTTAACGCCGTGGCCGTAGGAAGTTCTTTTTCGTAGAATCATTAGACAACAGAAATAAAAACTACAAGACGTCGGGGGAAAAAAACAAAAATCGAAAAATCATCGCGCTTATGAGAAGATTTGTATTCCGCCCATTGCTTCTATTATTATGACAACGACATTGAAATGTGTTTTAATTGTGATGACCATCTTTTTGCCGGTGACATGGCCATACCGTTACTTGGCGCGCCAAACATCCCCGGATGTCAGTGATGTAATATTCTTGCTACGCCATCCCTCCTACGACGCGAATTCCTCATTCTTTAATAGCGAGGATTTATACGATAATACCGTCGAAAGTCTGCAGTGGTTGGTCGGACCAACCGATATTCGTCGTTATAACATCTTTTCACCCTCCTCAACGTATCAAATAAATCTGCGCTATCGCAATGATCCATCGGTTATCCGGTATTACGGTTATCAATTGTGGAAAATACACGAAACGAATATGAAACATCCGGAATTGAATAAATTTTGGCAATTATTTGGTTAGTGTGAGAATAAAAAGTTATAAAACTAAAGAATATAAAAGAAATATTTAAAAAAAAACGTGAAAGGGTGAAAACATTGTTCACTATAACCGATTTCTATCCATATTACTGACACTCTGATTGACTGACTTAACGATTCATCAACGCCCATATGAAACAGGTGAAGCTAGTATCTTCAAATTTGGGGTGAGGGTCGCTCTTAGTCCAACTGTGTCAGATTAGGCTGGGTTTTTGGCAAATCGTACTAGAAAGGCACGAAAAGTATTATATGTGGTACCATTTGTATTTGGCGGTAGAGTTAGAACTCTTTGAAATTTTGAAAAGGGTTTTTTTTTTTGAAATTCGAATTTAAATATCTGAAAAGTACTAAAGTGTACTAAATATGGTACAAATTCGTAACAAGTGAACGAATGGAGCTAATAAATTGAAAGGGTTGAGAAGTACGGTCGATATAAGGAGATGGTTCTGGAAGTGTGTACTCATGTGTACGAAACAGTGCTTAATTTGGTACAATTTTAATTTGTAGGAACGGATGGGTATGAAATCCTGAAATTTTAAATAAACAATACCGTCGGAATGTATGATTGCAAAATGTAGAAAGTTTTGGAAATGTGTACATATGTGTACGAAAAGAACTAAATGGTACTATATTTGGTGCGATTTGGGTGAACCTATATAGCTGCAACACTGAAATTTGGAAAAAAGATTACTGTTGGAATGTAGGATTGGGGTATGGATGTAGTTTTCGAAATTTATACTTATGGGTACTAAATTTGATACATTTTGGATTTAGATGAACCGATAGAGCAGGAATACTAAAAACTTGGAATTAAAAACACGCTGGGGTGTAGGATTGGAATTGGATGAATTTATAGGCTAGAATCATGAAATTTGGTATTAGTTTTGGAAATAAGTACTACAAGAGTGCGAAAGTTAACAAATGGCACTAAAACATGTAAAAAAAAGTGTCCTCAGCCTATGGTTTGCAGAGGTCTTCGGAATTATACACAGGTTACATTATCCGCTTTATATTAGGTTAGGGAAATAATCCATTATTTTTATATGAACTATAGGACTTTATTTAACATGTTTCGGAATGTCCGATTTGGACCAAATATGCACCGTTTTGCCATTTTAAATGTAACTTCATAACGCCTCTCTCATAAAAGTCCTGCTCTCTATTTGCAAAAAACACTAGTAATCGATTTTCACAATACTTCCCAGATACCAAGAAAAATATGATAATCGTTTGGTGCTAAGTCGATACTGTATGGCGGATACATTAAAACTTCCCAACCAAGCTCCCGAAGTTCTGCCGAAACTTCACTGTAGATGTGTGTGGCCTAGCGTTGTCCAGGTGGAACCCGACACATCTCCTGTTGGCCAATTCTGGCCGCTTTTGGTCAATTGCTATCTTCAAACAGTCCACAGTAGAGATCAGAATTTAGCGTTTGGCCATATGGAAGCAACTCATAATAAATAATCCACTTCAAGTCCCACCAAATGAATAGCAGAACCTTCATGGCCGTTAGTCCTGGTTTGGCCACCGCTCTTTGACGACGATCGTTTTCGCACAGAGTTATCTCGCATGCGATCCATTTCTCATCTCCAGTCACCATCCGTTAAAGAAATGGGTCTATCTCATTCCGTTTGACCAATGCTTCGCAGATGGAAATTCGATCCATCCTATTTTTTTCTGTTAATTGGTGTGACACTGAAACATCGAGCTTATTTTTCAAACCAGCTTTGTGCAAATGGTTTAAAACTGTTTTATGGTCGATTTTTAGCTCCTGGGCGATGTTACGATTGCTAACATGCCGGTCCACTTCGATAATTTCTCCGATTTTATCCACATTTTCGACGATTGGCTTAATGGATTTCTCCAACGGGCTTCTTCAACCTAACATAAAACAGCTTAGTTATAAGTGAGTGTGTGAATGACTGACAGATCATCGCCCAGACGAAACGGCTGAAGCTAGGAGCATGAAGTTAAGTGTGGAAGTGTATGGAAATTTGAACTAGAACGCTACGAAAAGTACTAAACTTTATTAAATTTAGTTCTAATTGTAATAATGTATATATATACAGCTAGAATCTTGAAAATTTATGGGGAATACATATGTTTTTAGAAGTTTGTACTTATATGTACGAAAATATGTAAATGGTACTAAATTCGGTACAAGTTGGATTCAGGTGAACAGACAGAACTGGAGTCTTGAAATTGGGAATTAAAATGACTGTACGAGTGTATGATTGAGGATGTTGATATGTCTCATCACTAGGAAGACAAAAATAAATAAATTTAAATATCTGGGAATCATCCAAAACTGAAAACTCAAATGGAAAGACATGACCAGGTGGTTAAAGCCCACAGATGCTGGACCTTCTGCAGAAGAGCTGTAGGCTCTAAATGGGGTTTTAATCCAAAGATGATACACTGGATCTATAAGAGTGTTATTAGACCAATTCTAACATACGCCTCGGTAGTCTGTTGGACAGCAATAGACAAAAAATGTAATGTAAAATTGTTACAGAAATTTCAGAGAACATGCTTCCTAGGTATATTCGGGGCAATGAGGACAACACCGACAAGAGCAAGACATCCAAATAACATATTAAGAGACCGTCGTAGCTTTAATACTTAAAGCAATGAACGAGTGGATCGAAATAGGACACAATAGATAGCATAAATATATATTACAAACCACAATAGGATCCTCAAATAGTAATTTTGAGAATATCTGAAATAAGAGTATTAACAACATGTGAAGCTATGATACCAGACGGGGACACATGGGATAGCGGAACACTAGTTTACATGCCGCATCGTAACTGTTGTTACACAGATGACTTCCAACCAGCTAGATAGTCGAAAATGGGATTATTCATAGAAGACCGAGAACCGAAATCTCACTCCGCCTACTAGATCACAATACGATCTTAAAGGCATGACTGACTTTTCAGTCATGGTAATGTGTGTAGTAATAGCTCTCTATCTTTAATTAAACAAACCCCTACTAAATACACCCTAAGGTCCGTAACACATAATTTGAACTTTAACATCGTAAAATTGTTCTTTACTAATGATAGAAAATTGTAAATATTTACCCACTGGCCAAATAATCATGAATTTTGTAATGATCAATAAAAACTAAAGACTTTAGTCCAAAATCCATTTTATAACTGTATTTCTGTTAATATATATTCACATTAAAACGTTTTTTAAACACACAGAACCGGCTTAAATGTTTCGACATAAAAATGTAAATAAATAAATGTTTCGAAAAAATAACGTATGAATTTAAATAACGCTTGCGTCTATGTCTAATCATGCAAAAAATATACAAACATAACATCATCAGCTTTTACATATTTAAAAACTATCTAATATCATTCAAAAAGTCTGTCAATGCTACATGGACTTGGTAACGACAGTTTGTTTATTTTTTTATCGTTTATTTATAGCTTAGCAATATTATGTGTCTGCAAAGCTCATAAAAACGAAAAAGGGATCTTGGACGTTTCAAATCCGTACTAAATTGTATAGCCGTTAGTATAATGTGAACGAATATAGAGGGAGTCTTGAAAATTGGTTCGATTTTGAGATATGGATATTAGTAGAGTTGAAGAAGGGATTGGTATAAATCTTTGTGAATCGTAAACATAGTTCCTCATTGCACTCTAGGCATTGCTCCACTATTCCATTTTCCACATATGGGCATATTTCATCATACAGACTCATATCATACAGATTGTTATTCAGTGTTGGCCTCATTCCTACGCATTGTGTCAATATATTTCTCTCCCACATTCTAATCCTTTCCATTTGTGCTGATGCAGCAAAGAAGTAGGTGATGATGGGTCGAATCACTTGCTTGTATTCTAGAAAAATTTACCTCCCATGAAAGTCCTTCTCGCATTCAAAAGACTGGACCTAATCCACATGGCGAGGTATTTCATCCTGTCTGAATGAATTAATTTCCAACTTTTATAGTTGGAATATATTTTCGATAGCTCTTCGCAGTGGACTTGGGTTTGCCCTTGAAAACCACCGATACACATTTTCCAACATTGAGTTCTTCAACAAATGGGGACTTACATTTGTTGAAGTAGTTGCGAAGTGTTTCCATTCAATCTTCTTTCCACAGTGCTTCAAAGCGGTCTCGCAGTGCAAAAGACACATCATCGGCGTATGTTAACAGCAATCCTCTTTCAGGTGGCACTGGTATGTCGCATACGAACCCTCCTGTTTAACCGAACGCTGTTCAGACATCTTATCTTCTACTGTAACACGAAATACTCGAGAAAACTTAAGAAATCTTTCAACCATGCGACAAGTTTGATGATCAAATCCGAGCGATTGCATCTTATTAAAAATTCCGTGCTACCAGACTGTGTCAAAAGCTTTGGCAAAATCCAGACTAAAAGTAATGCTTCATTTCTTCAGTTTGAAACCTTCGGTGACATATGAAGATAGGGCTGCCGGTGCATGGCTTGTCGAATTTGCCAAACTGGTAATATCTTAAGATTTTCCTTTCTCCTATAACTTGGTTAATGCATCGCAGAATTAGCAGGTTGGTAGGAAAATTGGTCTGTAGCTTCCGCGTCTGTACCAGGCTATGGGATTGATACGACCAGTGTCTCTTTCCATGCTATTGGGAAATAGCCAATGTTGAAGCAGTGGTTAAAAAGTACCATCAGGAATATTATTAATAATAATTATGGTTTCTCCAGCATTCTTCATGGCAACATCTAGAACTTTGTCGAGGCTATACCATTTCTTCGCGGCACGGAAGAGACCGGACCAGTTCTGAGTCTATAAAGTCCCATCTACGCCCATCGTTGTTTACAGTTGCATACGCTTTGAATTCACTACAGAGATCAATGAGGGGTGCATCGTTGTCTAAATCTTCTACTGCAGTGCTGACAAGAGTGCGCATAGAATTATCCACTGCAACATCAGATTGGTGGATCTCCTCCATTTGATCGGCGACTATTACTCCGTTGTCATCTTGAATGCCTTTGATGGGCTGACCGAAAGAAAGTCCAGCAGCCCTCTTTACTTTCCCATATGTCTTGGAGTTAATTTCGATGTTTTCCAAATAGCCGGTGAAACGTTTATGTTAAAAATTTGCCTGTCTATGATGTCTGCTTTGGGATGACGAACAGGATCTGGGCTTCTCCTGAAACTCATGATATTTGACATTCACACAAACGTCCAATTCCGTGTTTGTGACATTTCTGTCTGTGAGAAGGGTGTGTTGAACCAACGCTTCTTTGATTTGTAATTGGTATCGAAGAGTCCTTGTAGAAAATCTCTGTTTTATCTTCTTGGATGCTACCCGTTCGCAGGCAAATCTCAACTGCGCGATGTTCGGACTCAAATTCATGTCAAAGTTGTGACGACAATTCCCGGTGCTCGCAAGAAGTAGTCGATAAATGATCGTCCCATTATGCCTGACCTTTTTGAAACATCTGTTGGATAGACGTCAAAGTTAGGAGAATTATAAATTTTGCGGCGGTGCTTATGTGACCCACCTTGGCGAGTTCCGCTGCGTTCAGTGAGTCTTCTGGCAGTAGATAAATTTCGAGCATCACAATGCTTGATCCATCCCCCTAGTTAATATCCTTACTCCACAGGATTCTATTTGACCAGTGTACACAAAAACCTCATCCGATTTTATTAAACTCCTGACCAGTGAAAGGTCATGAAAAAATATTTGTTTAATCTATGGGTTGATCTTTTCTATCTACGGTTGGGCTTATAATCTTCTCACTACTTGTTCTTGTTTTAATTTTTTCACTCTAGTCACTATTTTCGTAAAGATAAAATATTAAAAATCTCTCTTCTTTTCTCTAGGAAACGAAGTATGGAATATCAATCAGGATGGCGTTGATATATTGATTGATTACAAGAATACTGCCAAGGCGAAGGAGTATATGACATCGAGTGCCTTTACCTACAACATAATGATTGATGATTTGGAAACAGCCATTGATGAAACATACACCGAGGTGAATAATACTAATCCGGAAATGCCATGGCTAGAATTGGAAGGTAAGTTAATACCAATACCCACTAACATTTCAAAATAATAAAAAATGTTCTATATTTCTAGGTAGCACAATGTCATGGAATCGTTATCACGATATGATGGAGATAAAACAATTTATGCAATATATTTTGGAAACATATCCCGAGCAGGCGGAAATTGTGCAAATCGGTGTGACGAATAATAAACGACCACTGGAAGTGTTGAGATTCTCAAATAATAATCCTGAAAATTGGGCGATATTCATTGATGCCGGTCTACAGGGTCGTGATTGGCTGAGTCCAGCTGCTGTCACATTGGCCATATCAAAATTGGCCCATCAATGGAAAGTAGGGCCATCGTATATGAGACACATTGATTGGTATTTCCTGCCAGTGGCCAATCCTGATGGTTATCAACATTCAAGGATAACAGATCGTTTGTGGACTAAAAATCGACATTTTGATAGTAAATCCGGATGTTTTGGTGTGAATTTAGATCGTAATTTTGAATATAAATGGGGTGGTGCTGGTTCATCAGATAATCCCTGCAAGAATCTCTATAAAGGTCCAAAGAAATTCTCAGAGCCGGAGACACGCGCCATACGCAATTTTATGTTTAATATGAAAGATTTCTTAGGAGCGTATATATCGTTCAGTGGTTATGGCCAGGACATTGCCTATCCATGGGGTGATGCTGATTTTGTTACGGATAATCAAAAGCAATTGCATCATGTGGGCCGGAGAGCAATGATGGTAAGAGATTAAGCTTCCTTGCTTCTAAAAGAAGAAAATATCTAATTTGTTTTTGAATTTCAGAATTTCCGCAAATTAAATGAAGCGGAATATCGTGTGGGTTCCAGCTACCGTCTGAAGTTGGCCAGGGCTGGCAATTCAGCCGATTGGGTCCAACATCGCATTAATCCCCACTTTGTCTATAATGTATTTTTAAAGGATCAGGGCCGTTATGGTTTCTTAATGCCACCCAGTTACATTGTGGAATCCGGCGAAGAGGTCTATGAATTTATGCGCACCGTTGCCTTGGCCTTATATAGATTAAATTAAACTGACTTAATTTTTAAGTGTTTTGTTTAGTATTTAACTTTTTAATTGTAAGTTATTTATTTTTTATTTTAATTTATAGATAAATAAATTATTTTTCCTAATGTGACTTAATAATGT